ATTTGACTATAATAGTTCTTCCGCACTTTCAACCTATGAAGATGTTCGCAAAGCATATCAAAACCTGTTCAATGAACTAAAAATCCCGTACCTTGTCGCTGAAGCCGATTCTGGTGACATAGGTGGCGACCTCAGTCACGAATTCCACTTTCCAACGAAGATTGGAGAAGATAATATCATTAGTTGTACCAAATGTAAATACGTGGCAAATGAAGAGTTGGCGGAAACTGGAAAATTGAAAGTGGATGAGATTGATGATTCTGACGTCCATACTCAAAACACGAGTGTAGTTGCGGGATTTTCTCGCGATGGATCCACTCTAATTGCCATTTGGTTTTATTCCGAGGATGGAGAGGGATATGAGCTGAATACACGTTCAATCAAGAGCGTTATACCGGAATATGATCCTTCCAGAAAAATAGAATATCCAGAGTTGTTGCGATTTATCAATACGAAGAATATGAGCGGAAACAAATCGTTCGATAAAAGTAACCAACCATCCATCAATCGTGTTGTCCACTTGATTGACGGACGAGTTCCTTCACAAATCTCTCAGGTAATTGTGAAGGAAAAGTTTTCTGCAGTTGCTAAAGCTAACGGCAAGACTCGGGATGATTGGTTATCGAAGGTGGATGATACATCGTTTATTTCTCGAGATCCATCTACCGGTGAAGCATTGAATCTACGACGGATTATGGAGGGAGATATCTGTCCCAAATGCCAAGAACCGACGTTGAAAGTTGAAAAAGCCATTGAACTTGGCCATACTTTTCACCTGGGTACGAGATACAGTAAACCAATGGAAGCAACGGTTACTGTACCTTGTAATCTTGTGGAAAATAAATCTGAAGAGATTACAGCTCTGCTTGGAGAAAATGGTCAGGTTCAGGTTTCCATGGAGATGGGATGTCATGGGATTGGTGTGACGAGGATGATTGGAGCTGTTGCTGAAACCCTTGTTGACGGGAAGGGACTGAATTGGCCCAGAGTTATGTCTCCTTTCGAAATCGTTGTGATCCCAGGTAAAGGTTCTGATGAAGGTGCCTTGCAGATATTTGACATCTTCTCCATCGCCGCAATGGATCCAGTAATTGATGATCGAGGAGTATCAATTGCTTGGAAATTGAGAGATGCGGATTTGATTGGTTACCCGGTAATTGTTGTGCTAGGAAGGAAATGGAAGGAGGGTTTATGTGAAGTTCAGTGTAGAAGGTTGGACGTCACGGAAAATGTGAAAATTGAGGATTTGAAAGATTTTGTTGGCAAGCTATTGAGGCAGCTTTGAGAGAGAAGGGCCAAGGTGCTGTGGTATATTCTAAGATCTCTCTCTAACATATGTAGTTAATATTTCTGGCTTGTAGGACGTTGCCGAATGAAAGCATTTCAACTCTAATATTCCGGAAAGTCAGATCTTGAGAGAGCGGGGCTTGGGAGTGCTTTATCTAGGGGCTTATACAGGCATATAAGGTACTAGTGAACCATCATTGGACGGAAGTCATTACACGCTGTCTATATGTATGAATCTATTGTTTGCCTAACTCGCGAGACTGAAGGGGTGTTTGGCTTAAGTTTCAGAGTCTTCTGAATCTGGCAGCCCAAATACATTGGTTGCTGGCATACCGCTCTGTGGGCAAAACTAATCAGGTTTATTGAGCTCAAATATCCAACCAGGTACTCATTCAATCACTGATTTCGGTACGAAGCTCCAATGTCGAGGTTGCCAATCTAGGATTTCCCTCAGAATCATGCTATCAGTGAGATTCAACTTTAAAGATTGGAGCGTGCTTTTCACACTGTAACATAAGTATCAACAGCACATCCACTTTGGCAAAGGCCAAACATGTCAACTCCTTTATGGGATGATGGAAAAAAAAAACCTGCGTCTCATTCACCAACAACGGCTGCTACCTCGCTTCGGAAGACGAAGGAGTCTGCTGCTATTATTCGAAAACGAATAAATTCTGATTGATCTTAAATTTCTTCTCTATTTCTTTTTCTCTTCACGGCGGAACTTGGTAATAATCAAGCCAATTTAAATCGGAAAGTTGTTGAGTAAACCACGCATCATTCATCGAATCTATCTGCATACCATTATCAAACATGGAGATAGTATCTATGCCAATTTCTCCATTGGCTATGCTCCCATTCATTATGGCGGAATAATCTGTTGGCGTTGGTACTTGGTGGTAGGGGATTTGTGCTTCGCTGTGTGTTGGAGTGCCTGTAATATTAGCCCTTGGTAATTTACCTTTCGAGTTTGCGGCGGCTTCTTGGGGTTTTCTTGCTTGTATTTTCTCTTTCAAGCCCTTCAGGATCGTTGTAGCTCGCTCGGCTGATTGAATTTGTACTTTGTGATGCTCGAGAATTTTAATACATGATGTCCAAGATTTTTCGAAAGAATGATCGGTGGACAAATTGGCTTCGATCAGTGGAGACAATTGCGCCGCAAGGAGGATTGTCGCAGCGGCGAAAGCAACTGAGATTTGTTAGAAAATGGAGAGATTATGTAAAAGGAAGCCATGAGTCCTAATAGTCTAGCAGCAATTCAAAAATGGGAACTTGTGGGAAACTCACAGTAAACTGTATGCCACGCCGAGCTACGATATTCCGTATTGAGGTTTTCGTGAACGGTCTCCACAAGTAAATGAGCTGTTTTCACACATAATGTACAAACTCCAATTGCGAGATCTTTCTGAAGTCCAGGCTCGGCTTTGGCGAGCAGGGTTGACTTTTCCTTGGAGACGGATGTTAAGAGTACGGGTCGTAAGAGTAAGATGCGTACGAGTAAGAACCTGGTATGAGAAGTTAGAGAATGGTATTATGAGTCAGGGTCCAAACCTATTACCTGCTTCGCAGTACTTTTGACTGCAACGTTAAATGAAGTTGATTGGGCGTGAGAGAGTTGTTTCCAAGCGTGAATAAATTAACATCTTTAAGTATTTTGGGGACACTTTCTCGGAAATCATCAAGTTTCGCATTAATGGTCAATATACTGGCCAAATCACGTACCGACCAAGGATCAAAATTCTTGGAAGAATTACTTCCACTCTTCCCACCTTGTAGGACATAAAACTCGGAAAGTATCTCATCCATAATGTCAAATAGCCTGAGCGAGTAAACAAATAGATACATCCGAGAATGAAGTCCCGATTGTTGAACTCCTTGGCTATCTGACGATAGATATTGGTCGTCGATTATTGCAGGTTCCGGAACATCCCAAGATCCAGTTCTGATCATGGTGGGCCGTCCAAATGTCATAGCTAATAATCTTTTTATCATTTAGCTAGGGCAAATCCGAGAGTGGAATAGAACTACGTACCTGTCAAGCGAAATACAAGAATACCAAACCCTCCGCCTTATCTCAATATTTAATTGATTGGTCCTGTGGATATTATTTTCTGTATTAAGACCCAATCCTTGTGCGGTTCGAATAGCCAATCCAACCATATTCCAACATCTATTTGCATGTTGAGTGGACTGCAAATAAACTCCAGTAAGTAAGAATAATTGAACCAAAGATAACTGTAGTGCATCCATTATCTCAAAATTCAGTAACCTTCTCGATCTTCGATAGAATTCATCTGCATAGTTTGATTTCCGATGCGAAGGAACGTCATTACTATATTGACATCCCAAAGCAAATACTAGATTAAGGGTAGCATGAAAGATTGTTTCGCTCAATTCATCACCATGTAAACCTTTCCCTGGTGATGACAGCCATAGTTTTTGATAGGTAGCATTGATACCTTGAAGATCTAAGAGAGGAAATACTGGGTGAACGAATTCCCAATAACAATTCAAGAAATCATCAGCCTGTTGACGCGGAGGTAAAATGAAATTCGCAAAATCTTGATTATGAAGAATTTCTATATCACCATTCGTTTGAGCTGCATTATCAGGCGATGGTATTCCCGTTGCATTCATCGACGCTGCCTGATCTGACGCTGCCTGTCGAACTTGAGATACTAATGCAATTGTTGATGAACCTCCATAGAGGGAATCTTGCGACTCTATATCGGAAACCATGGCCAAACCACCAACATTTCCAGGAGAAGGTGCATTTCCTGTAGCCGCATCTGGCGAGGAGATTGAATGACTGACTGTTCTAAATGGGACATTTGGTTTTGAATTGTCGGTAATCAAAGCCTTCCTGAATATTAGCAAATCAGCTGACTGGACCCAAGAACAGTAGCCTTGACTATGATGAATGTTTTGGAAGGCTTTCAATGTTTTCGGACGCCTTCAATCACATGAAAGGATTGAATGTACGAAGGGGCGTCCACACTATACATAGATTCAAGAATCAAAGACCATTGATAGTTGAGTTACACTCCGCATAATGGGGAAGCGCTGTGACGACCGGAAATATATTATTAGAGAAAACCTACCCGGCATTGACAGAAGCTTTAGATCCTACAGTTGCTTCTTCATAAGAACAACTATCTTGAACACCTCTTCTTATACATGATGAACACGAAGGACGATCACCATTACATGCTGTCTTTCTCTGGCGACATGAATTACATGCTAACTGTGTTCTCCGACGTTTACGCACAGGTTGTTGTGGTTGGCTTGCATTCTCAGGCAAATCTTCGGGCGGAGGGATATTCATGGAGATGGATGAAGGGATTGGAAGGGACTCGGGGAGAAATAAGAGTGGGGAGATTGGAGATAAGGAGGAAAGTCAATGAGATGATAATGGGGGTAATGTGCCAAGTCTCGGATCACAGATGGTAATTGTTGATTAAAGGGGGGTTTAATAAGGAATGATAGATTTAGTGGTGTGTTTGAGAACATAAGATGGGAGGTAAGGTCATGAGAGCTTTGGAGATATCAATTGCCAGGTTTTTTAACCCCCCTTTCAGAGAGAACGAGCCGGATATCCGGTTGGCCCTTGGGCCTTCTTTCCCCTCTATGATCACATGATTTTGCAACTTTAATCTGCCCACAAAATTACGACGTACACGTGCAATTGACAGGAAAGAGAGGAGAGGATTGAGCTAGTAATATGTGATATCAAAAGCACTAATCTGGTGATCTGGTAATCCTTCAAGCTAATCTAAATCATCTAGTAGAGGTGTTTAGCTTGTCAAGAAACTAGTCATCTTGTTGATAATCTTTCTTAATATAGCTTTAAAATGATTTTTGAACAATTAGAATAGCTTCGTTCAAATCTAATCATATCTATTAAAAATTTCTCAAAAATAAATATAGGAAAACGAATTGCTTTGTTATCAAGTTCATTTTTTATAGAAATGAAAAAGGGTTAAAACTTTTCTGAAAAGGATAAAGTGTGACCAAAAGGGTGTTTATAGACCAGCAATTGTATTTAACTTAGAATCTACAGGTGAAGAGCACCTGTAGATGGGGATAGCTACTCTATATATACACAAACGAATGGCCTAGCCGCAATGGCTAGGCAAAAAGAAGTCATATTTATCCCTCCAATGATCTTACTTTACCGATAACCATTGATACCTAGCACTTGTCCGGATCTGATCCTCAGGTCACCTAAATCGTATACTAATCCCGAGTAATCGTATCATGTGTGGACATGGTTAATGTACCTGAGGTTTCTTATATAATAAGGGTGGGAGGAAAGCAGGGATTTCCGTCACATAAAGTAATATAGATTATCTTAATCATTTCTGTAAAGACAGACCTGTTGAGCGATAATTAGTTTCTTGACAAGCTAAACACCACTAATGCCGACATGATCTGTTTGAGGCTGGGGTTGGTCATTAACCTTAGCGCTTTTAGGCATTATACGTAGTATATAATATTTACGATATTTACGACATGGCAGGCGCGATTTAGTGGAGATATAATAGGTTAATACTAGTTTTCCTCGAAGGATACCTAGTAGGTTCATGATAACCACACTTCACACCTACACCTACAAGAATAACCCTTCATGGCCAATTTGTTTTTCGGAGAAAGAAGGGCATTTCTGTTTATGTTCAATAACTTCAATAACATTGTGTTCGAGTTTGCTCTTCACTCTTCACTGTTCGTCCTTTCATATTCATACTCGCACTCCATATTAATATCAGAAAAAGCTCTCGCTGACGTTCCGATATCCTATACATCTCATCTCTTCTTCAGCACAGCTTTGTTTGATTCAATCGATCCCCATGAGTCATACCGGAATGGCGGCGTGTACGAAATGGTAATGCTGACACTGACTGTACGCCGTAAGGATGGACTATCCTCAACATGTATTTGAGTACACAGCATGATAAGGAAATTTTACCACTAGCACAATACTCAATAATCAAGTATTTATATACATAAGTAAGTCTCTAAAAAAGTTATCTCTAATTTCAACTAAACCGCAATTAACTTACTCAATTTCTCTATCAATTTATTCCTATGATATTGTTACGAGGTTTGCCGTCTAGATCATGTGGAAGTGCTCTAGGCTCTCGAGGTGGTTTATAACTAGGCGTCAAGCAGGGACTTAAGTAACAACAATAAGGATATGCAATTCGTAACTAACAGTAGAGTATACTAAATGATTGATCTTGAGCATGAAGCTTTATACAAAGGAATTCATGCTGAATATATAGATCTCTATACTTTATTGAAAATCGATAACTCCAAGCCCGACAACTCGAAACCCGCAAAACCGATTTCGACTTATCGGCTTTCTAATCATATGACTGCTGATGGTGTGTGCGCATATAATCCTCAGGTAACTGTTACGAAGTAACAGTCAACATGTCCATATGAGCTTGGACCCCGTAGAAAAGCAAGGAGGTTCACATACAAATTTGTATAGCAATCGACTCATAGAGTCTCCCCACCTTCAGTAAGCACAGACATACGTTCTGATTGAAATCACGTGATGGATCTAGGGGATCTAGAAGATTAAACTCTAGATCCAGTAGATCCAGGAGATCCACGGGAATACAGTAGAGTATGAAGTTCTATATAAGAAGGATAGGTTTCCATTTGTAGAGCTTCGTGCTCAAGATCAATCATTTAGTATACTCTACTATTAGTTACGAATTGCATATCATTATTGTCATTACTTAAGTCCCTGCTTGACGCCTAGTTATAAACCACCTCGAGAGCATAGAGCACTTCCACGTGATCTAGACGGCAAACCTCGTAACAGCGATGAACGAACCGATTGAGTAGAACAATTGTCAGAATCCCATGACCTTACCATGACTTATTATAAAATATATTATTATTAAATAATCAAAATGCTTCATCGAGTAATATAACTTGTCAAAAAAGAATATTCAAAAACTTTTCTTAAATTCAAAGTAAAATAACCTATCATTATACTTGTTGATTCAATACAAGGTGTAAAATTTGTGTATGTCGTGTACCGCTAATAGAGGCCGTTTGAATATGAGTTCAATGGGTTTACTGGCTCTATTCGAGATTTAATTTAAACTTGCGTCCCGAAGCAGAAAAACTTTTCGCTAACGACCAAACCCAATTGAGTAGGTTTTCATTTGAATGCTGTTTTTAGAGAATCGTGTCGGGATAGTTATATATTTTGTGTAATAGCACAGAGAGCAGAGAGATGAAGCCGAGGTAGCTTTAAAACCCCACGTTGATGTGGCGGTGCAATTGGTGGTGCGAGGGGCAAAGGCACCTTCCATCACACAAAGGTCTCTGTATCCTTCACATTCATTTTCCGTCCAAAGATGCTTCACATCAAGATATCTTGGTTCCGCCAAGTAGATATTTCAAACTTGGAACGAATATGAATACCGATTTCTATTATGTTTTCTATACACGATAGGATATTGTAAGCTCCGAGAAGCTTCTCCCTGTAATATTGTATGAACCAACAGAACCATCACCACGGGTTGAAATAGCCGATCCATGGATGTCCAAAAGTCACGCTGCAGATAAGAGGCCACTGGATGGGTGTGTAGTCGGTGTAAGAAAAGCCAAGGGCTTACCACTCAGTGAAGGTTCCTTAGCAATTGAAATCGAAATTTCCCATATAACATGTTTTGTCCTTTTATCCTTGTGAGATCTTACATGTGGGATGAAAATTTGAGGCGGTTTGTCTCTTTTCTTCTCTTCCTCTTGTCTTTATTGCGTCTTGCCCGTGCGATAACTCTCTTTAGTGGGGCAAGATACCAAGAACGTTATTGGGGTAACTCAACGGGCAGCTGGGTCTTCCTTTCCCCACTGACAATATATTTGATTGACATGCAAAATATTTTCCATTCTTCCGTTTACTGTTACTGTTTATCTCATTTCCCTAAATTTTTATCACTACCAGTATGTCTTCCACTGGTGTCGAAATATCATATCCTCCTAACCATGGAAGTGAGAAAATCGCTTCATACAGACAACCTATAAATGAGGGTTACTTGAAAGAGAAGTATGAGGAAGAAGTGCTTGGTTCTTTCTCTCCACCATATCACGATGATACAATATCCGTTAAGCAGACACATGATTCTACGCATCGTCAATTGAGACCGAGACACATTCAATTGATTGGTATTGGAGGGACCATTGGAACCGCTCTTTACGTTCAGATTGGTCGTGGATTGATAAATGGAGGGCCAGGAAGTTTGTTCTTGGCCTTCACGATTTGGTGCGTACGACTTTTTCCATACCATTGATGAATCTGAAAATATGGGATGAGTCTCTTACACAGCGGAATGATAGGTGTACCTTCATTTTGGCGATTACGAATGTAAGTAGAGCTATTATTCATACTCGATTTCTCTAATTGCCCCTTCACAGTGTATGGCAGAGATGGTAACTTACCTACCAATTTCATCACCCTTCATCCGATTTGCTGGTAGATACGTTGATGAAGCATTCGGAGTTGCGGCGGGATACAACTTCTTCATATTCGAAGCTGCCCTTGTTCCATTCGAAATAGTAGCTTGTAACGTGATCATTCATTATTGGAGTGATGTCGTTCCTGCAGGTGGGATTATTGCTATTGTAATAGTTCTTTATGGGTATGTCGTCCTAAACTCTGCTATTTTCTCACATGATTAATTTTTCAGCTTCATAAATGTCTTTGCGGTTAGATGGTATGGAGAATCAGAGTTTTATCTCGCCATGGGAAAAGTTCTGTTGATTCTTGGACTCATAGTATTTACTTTCATCACTATGATTGGTGGGAATCCTCTTCATGATCGATTCGGCTTTCGATTTTGGTCCAACCCAGGAGCATTTGCCGAATTTTACAAAACGGGATCTCTTGGTCGCTTCCTAGGATTTCTAAATTGTCTCATTCAAGCCTCATTTACCATAGCTGGTCCAGATTATGTGTCAATGGCAGCAGGTGAAGCTCAAAACCCTAGGGTTGTAATGCCTAAAGCATTCAATGGTGTTTTCTACCGTCTTACAGCATTTTTCGTGTTAGGAAGTTTGGCTGTGGGTATCTTGGTTCCTTATGATGACCAAGAACTCAAGGATGCTTTTACAAACGGTCTTCCTGGAGCCGCAGCCAGTCCTTATGTAGTCGCTATGAATCGACTTCGAATCAGGGTCCTTCCCGATATTGTTAATGCTATGGTTCTCGGAGCAGCTTTTTCTGCAGGGAATTCTTACGTTTATTGTGCATCTAGATCACTTTTTGGTCTTGCTCTCGAAGGAAAAGCTCCCAAATTTCTTACAAAATGCACGAAGCAAGGCGTTCCAATTTACTGTGTTGGAGTTACGTTGGCTATTGCATTGTTGAGCTTTTTGCAAGTATCAAATAATGCAGCGGTTGTCCTTCAATGGTTTGTTAATTTGGTTACTGCAAGTCAATTGATTAATTTCAGCGTGATGGCATATACGTTTATTTGTGTAAGCTCACCTGCTGAAGTCCTGGATCGACCATGGCTGATTTGATAATGTAGTGGAAAAGAGCATGCGATGCACAAGGACTAGATAGAGATACTTTACCTCATAAAAGTTTCTGGCAGCCATTCTGTGCATACTATGCATTAACTGGATGTTTTATCATGACCTTTGTTGGCGGATATCCTGTTTTTCTCCCTGGTGTGTGGACTATTTCCTACCTCCTGTTGTATCACTTCAGTCACTCCCATTGCACCAGAATTATTTTTGTTGCTTTTCAATTCAAGCTCACTGACCTTCATGATAGGCTCCTGGGATATTCCAACTTTTCTCTTTTCTTATGCAATGATTGGTGTTTTTCCAATTATCTTCTTCGGGTGGAAAATGGTCAAGAAAACAAAATGGTTAAAACCACGTGAGGTGATTTTGAGAACACAAGAAGTAGAAGAAATTGAGGAGTATATGAGGAATTATGTTGAGAGACCTCCTAAAACTAGATGGCATGGTTATGTGGATAGAATCTTCAATTAGTGGTGGAAGAGTGAGTGTGAATAGATTAAAGAAAAATGATCAACAATTTTCTCGATCGTAACTATGAAATGAATATCATACCCACTTGACATTGGCTTTCTCTTCATTTTCTATTGAAAACCACGGTGTTACGAGGTTTGCCGTCTAGATCACGTGGAAGTGCTCTAGGCTCTCGAGGTGGTTTATAACTAGGCGTCAAGCAGGGACTTAAGTAATGACAATAATGATATGCAATTCGTAACTAATAGTAGGATATACTAAATGATTGATCTTGAGCACGAAGCTCTACAAATGAAAACCTATCCCTTTATATAGAACTTCATATTCTACTGTATTCTTTTGGATCCCTTGGATCTATTGGATCTAGAGTTTAATTATCTAGATCCCCTAGATCCTCTAGATCCTTAGATCCATCACGTGATTTCAATCAGAACGTATGTCTGTGCTTGCTGAAGGTGGGGAGACTCTACGAACCAATTACCATACAATTTTGTATGCGAATCGGTTTGCTTTTCCACGGGGTCTGAGCTCATATGGACAGGTTGACTGTTACTACGTAACACTGACTTGTTTTCGTAAGCTTGGGCCATGTGCAAATCTGTTACGATTCGCTCAATTTAGTATGAGATTTCGGTCACCCTAGGATCTTATACGCACGCATTATCAGAGCATATAAACAAGTATGCTGGATCACTCAGGATCACCAGTGATCCAAGGTGATCCAAGGAGTATGAGGATCTATATATTCAGTATGAATTCCTTTGTATAGAACTTCGTGCTCAAGATCAATCATTTAGTATACTCTACTATTAGTTACAAATTGCATATCATTATTGTCATTACTTTAAATCCCTGCTTGACGCCTAGTTATAAACCACCTCGAGAACCTAGAGCACTTCCACATGATCTAGACGGCAAACCTCGTAACAGTAGATCCTATATAAATCGAAAATCAAAATTTCAACCTTCAAAATCTCAACCAATAAAATCGTGAAAAATCTAAAATTTCCGGGATCTATTTATAACTATAGAATGATTCTGTAATTAAAATTTTAATCGATTTGATTTATTAATAAGGTCGAACGTGAGCGACTGAGAGATTTCATTGGCCAAGTGATAGACTCCGCACGAGGATCTCCCGCAGTTATCCCCATGAGAAGGATGCCGCAAGCAAAAATAATTAGGGTTCGGAACTATCCGACTTAATGGGGGAACCACAGTATACCCTAGTGTTACGCCGGGTAACAAGAAGACGCTCACATGCTACCAATATCATGTGACTGACTCAGTGAGGATCAGCAAGCTCAGTACTGAGCCATACTGATCCTACTGATCAGCTAGAACACGAAGGTCTATATAATCAAGATGGATTTCCTTTGTATAGAGCTTCGTGCTCAAGATCAATCATTTAGTATATCCTACTATTAGTTACGAATTGCATATCATCATTGTCATTACTTAAGTCCCTGCTTGACGCCTAGTTATAAACCACCTCGAGAGCCTAGAGCACTTCCACGTGATCTAGACGGCAAACCTCGTAACACCTAGCTGGAAAGTTTATTGGATCGTCAAACGCATCTAAGCCATCTAGACCTCATACGACACAGTGCATCCCAATCATCCAGAAAGCCCTGGCACATTCATTCCAAGGCTGATTTGGTGGGGAGACTCCATGAGTTAGGCTGAAAAGTGTAATGCATCGTCAAACGCGTCTAAGCCAACTAGCCATAGCGCCCTAATCTTCCAGAAACTCTCTAAATTCCTTCCAAGACCACAAGAACCGAAAGATCCAAGTTGGCGGGAGAACTACGTGAAGCTTGCTGAAAGTTTAATGCATCGTCAAACGCTATTAAGCCGCCTAGGCGCAAGTTGCGCTATACCTCAATCTCCTTCCTGTCTCCAGAAAACCTTCAATTTCTAGACTACAAGACCAAGCATGTCAATGGCCAAGTCGCGCCAACGAAAACGTGTAAATGCCTCAAGTATCTATCGCTGTAATTATCTCACCTCCTGCAGGAAGACTGCTTTCTGCCGGGCAAAGTTGCGTGAACTTTGGAAAGGGAATCACGTGATAGAATGGCTCCGGCTCTTGATGAAACGGCACAGGAGGCAAAAGTAACGTGCAGATGCAAAGCTTTGAACTTGTCGCGCGTACACAGTCTTTAGAGTGACAACTGATGAACCATCAGTGAGGTCTTTTCACCGATGGCGTGTTTGCACTTCGATTAACGTTTCATCCTTAGCGAATGAACTTGTCTTCCATGCCAGTAGCAAGATATTTTCCACATTCTCCCGACCATCACCAAAGACTACAAGAACTTTATTTCAAATTATCTAAGTTCATGCGTTCTCTACAATGCCAAGTAAATAACGAACCCTGACTTTTCTGCCGGCGCGTGTTTGGCACCGTTTGCACTTCGATTAAAGTTCTATACTTAGAGCAGTCTCTCTCTCGATCATCAAGCAAAAGTAAGAAAACTTTATTTCAAATTTGCTATGTTCATGCGACCTCTACAGTGCCAAGCACCTAGCTATTCCCGGGAAACTCCCATCGGCGGCGTGTTTGGCACTGTTTGTACTTTGATTAAAGTTTGGGGATGGCTCTGTCGTTGATGGCCAATGTCAGAGAATACGCTGAGTATAGCACTTTATTTCGAGTTTGTGCCCAATATAAGCGAGATACTGGTTGTTATTTGGATCATTGAGACGAACTAAACATGGATGCTCAATTGTAGGTGTAATTGCGCATTTACATTAGGCATATTTTGAGCCTCTCGTCTGAAAATTGGGGATTCTGCTGAGAGGCTAGGCGTTTGGCTATATTTCATGTCACGATCAAACCAGCCAAAATCCAGAGATTATCATATTTGTTCGATCCCTGCTTGGTGCGTCTGAATTGTCAAGGATGACTATAGTAGATGAAAGATATGAGGATTGGAGATTATATAAACCTCTCCTGTTTCCGTTCAAAATATCTTAACATCATATTCACACAATCATTCTACTCTCACTTTCACTTCCACATTCACTTCCACATTCACTTCCACACTCAAATCAAAAACACATTCTCTCTTTTTTTCAAGAAAATCAACCACTCCCATCAAAATGAAGTTCTCCCTTGCCACCATCATTGTATGCGCTGCCATTGCAAACGCAGCTGCCTTCCCAGCTCCAGAAGCCGCAGTCGGAGACCCAAACGCAGTCATTGCACCTTCCGTTGAAACTCATTTCAGTGGACAGGTATATAGAATCATTCCTTGGGTATTATGTGCATTGCTAATGATTTAAAAGTTCGATGCCACTGGAGCTTTAGTCGCCAAGGAGGACAATGAAACCGATCAAGCGCTTCAAAAGCGTATTGCACCAGTGGTAGTCGTCGCTGGAATTGCCGCAATCAAGGGCATTGCCATCTTGACCAAGATCGCCGTTGAAATTGGACAACAGACTATCGCCAACCTTGGGAAATGGAATGAGGTGACTATCTTCCGACAAAGAAATTGTTTTGATACTAATCTACTTTCCAGACACGTGAGAAGTTCACTCAAGCGACTACTCTTGCGATGTGGAACAGAAACCCGGATTACAACAAGTTCCCTGCTGTTGCCTGCTACAACAAAGGTTATCATCTCCGAAATCCTAGTGGCCAGGATGGAAGAGTGTCTGCCAAACTTTCTCTTGGTATGCTCAACACTGAGTAAGTAGTCTATACAGCTTGGATTCGGAGCTCTCCTCTCAACTATTCAATAGCTAATAATTCTAGCTACGATTGCTTGTATATGACTGGAAACAACGCGTTCTATACCCATAACGAAGGTGGATATATCAATGTAAGAAATCAATACTACAATAGATAAAATCATCATACTAACAGGCACCTAGCTTTCCTACAGATATAACGGAGGCCGATGCACATTCGACAAGCGCACCGGTGACTTGACCTGCAGATAGAGAGTTTAAAGTTATAGCTCTGTGCGACACCTATATACGATTGCCTTTGTATAAAAACTAGAGGCTGCTTTTGGAAACATGGGCTAGGTGGTCACCTAGTGCATTGCCTCGTCACAGATTTTTGTTCTGATTGGATGTTTTGCTCGTTTAGACCTTGCTCTCATGCCTCTTTTTGTAATGTTCTGTCTAGTTAGTTGAATTGAGCTCATTTCTATAAAAAAAATAGACATTGTGCTCCGTACTTCGAAAAGCAATGATTGATGGGTTTATTTGTTTCATCTTCGATGGAGGAATGTGCATTAACTCTTGAAACAAATGTCCCATGACACTTGCTTATAGATGAACAGCAGAGTGGATCGACTGGCATAGCCGGTAATTTATCCGTATCGGTGTTTTATGACCAATCTGGGAGGGGGCTATACCTATTCACTAACCCCTTCCCTTTTGGTATACCCCTTCTTTTAATATACCTCTTCTCTTAATATGCTCTTCCTTTTCAATCTTATAGACATAAGCTGCCTTGGTTATCAATTAGAGTGTTTATCAACAATCAAATCTTGATCAAATAATTTTTAATTATACTTTACCAGATCATATTAATAGTAGATAATTAATAATTCCTTAGTCCTCTCTATAGAAATATGAAATCAGTGAGTAATAATGATATTAAATATAACTCGTATAACGTGGTTTATCAGTGGGTCGGACACTTTTTCAATATCCTTTACTCTCTCACTTCAATACGCGTTTATTCAATAGTTATTGATGGAAATTCATTCAAAAGAAGCACGAATAATCCTGGTTATTGAGGCTATTGAATTGAACAAAAGATTAACGATTCGAAAGGCTGCTAATTACTATAGTGTGCCTCGATCTATATTATTCAATAGAATTCAAGGTCGTAGTAATATGACTGAAAGTCGACCAAAAAGTCATAATTTGATTGAATTAGAAGAGGAGGTGCTTATTCAATACATTATTGATATGGACGATAGAGGATTTGCCCCTAAATTAAATAGTGTGGAAAATATGGCGAATTATATGCTCGAAATACAGGGTGCGAAGAAGGTTGGAAAGCTCTGGGCTCATCGCTTTGTAAAACGATGTTCAGAAGTAAAGATGTGTTTTAATTGTGTTTGTAACTTTCAAAAAGCTTTTTGCAAAGATCCAGAGCTTATTGAAGAGTGGTTTCGATTGGTATCGAATATACAAGCGAAATATGGGATTCAGGATTGCGATTTCTACAACTTCGACAAAACAGGCTTTATAATGGGTATGATATGCCCTGGAATGGTTATAACTAGTGCTGAACAAAGTGGCAGAAGCAAGGCAATACGACCAGGCAATCGAGAGTGGGCAACAGCGATTATATGTGGTAATGGAGAGGGTGAAACTATATCATCATTTTTAGTGGTGCAAGGACAATATCACCTTTCTAATTGGTATACAGAGAGTGATTTCCTGCAGATTGGGTTATTAAACCTACTTTTAATGAATGGACGAATAATGAGACAGGTTTAGAATGGTTAAAGCATTTCGATAAGCATACTAGTCAATGGAGAAAGGGTAAATATCGAATGCTAGTATTGGATGGGCATGAAAGTCACGAATCGATACCTTTCCAGTCATATTGCAAGTCAAACGACATTATATGCATAAAGTTACTATTGTATTCAAGTCACTTAACTCAACCACTTGATATTGGATGTTTTAGCATACTCAAACGTTTATATAGTTGTCAAATTGAAGGATTTATTAAGGCTCATATGAATCATATCTCTAAGGTTGAATTCTTTATAGCTTTCAAAGTTGCATATCAACAATCGATTACTATTCAGAATATAAAAGCTGGTTTTCGAGGAGCAGGTCTAATACCATTTGATCCTCAATCTATACTCTCAAAAATAGATATTAGGATTCGTACTTCTACCCCTCTATCTACCTTTTTGGAACTTACCAACTTCTGGATCTCTCAAACCCCTCATAATCTAACTGAGGCTCTCTTACAATCAACTCTAGTAAAAGCTCGAATGGCTCGTCATCAATCAAGCTCTCCTACACCTATATTTGAGACTGTGCAAACTTTAGCTAAAGGTACAGAGAGACTGGTATATGAAGTTATACTTTTGAGTATTGAGAATCGTATGCTTCGAAGAGCAAATGAGGTATTAAGTAAACGTCGATGTGCTAAAAAAATTCAACTACGTAATGGAGGAGTACTTACTGGACAAGAAGCTGAAGATATATTATCACAATAAGAGGTTGATAATCAGATTCAATACGATGAGCGTCAAAATGGGGGAAATTCTAATAGGGAATTGTTGGGTTTCTTGAGACCAGAAAGAGCATCAGATTGAATTGATTGATTCTCTAGCTAAGCAGTTAAGCTGCGAGTATATATTCAAAAAATGAAGGAATAGGGTTAGGTATTCAGCCTTCGGAATTAAAGTGCTTTGAAATCAAAATATTGAAAGCAAACAAACAGTATATCAAAAAGGAAAGAATGAATTAAAAGTTGAGTTTTGTTTGCTCCTTATATGCATCATGCGATATATATGCATATGCTGCCAAGATCCCAGGAGGTCAACAGGATGCTTTTAGCAAGTTTCACTCTTCTGCGAAGCATTCGGCAGACATCACGGCAGCGGATGAGCTCTGGCAGAAGCCACCTTATGAGACACATATCCGATACGTTCTCAACCCTCCGCATTATCGATTACAAACTATACATTGGGGGAATGGATTTTGCAGGCTGTGCTTTGGTTAGTGAGCTGGAAACGTTGTATTTTTAGTTGCCTGGCTAGGGGTTAAGACACAGCAAAGCTTGCAAGATACGGTCGGCCTTGTTGTGCAGGAGAGATCCGGCAAGGTAACGCGAAACGGTGCACAAGCCGCGGGGCGTAGCGTATAATGGCAGCGACAGTGACACTGTCTATACGGCTCGAGAGGACGGATGCGCGTATCGGTCTACAATAGGGTACAAGGCAACTGGCAATGGAGATACCGGGTAGGCTTAGGGAGCAAACAGGATAATGGGTGTAGAAAGGTTGTTTTTGCCTGGGGGCAACCTTCTCAAAGGATATTGAGACTGACATCTTGTATCTGGGAAAGCATGGTAAGAATTGGTTACTCTTATATTTGTAGTCTCACTGGATATATTATAAAAGACTCATAGATTTGCAAATATAATATTATCACTGCAGGTCTGAAAGGTATGGACCTAATCAAAGAGGAAGTCAATACCTTCAACCCAGGGCTCAGTATTATGGGTACTCCTTACTGGCTTACTAATGCCTCCAAGAGAGCCAAACAACAAGACGGAGCAATAGTCATTGCATTTGCTACACAAAAAGAAGCAGATATAGCTATCCAGAAAAGGCTATATATTGCAGGCATTAGTGTTAGAGTAGAAAGATTCTATCCATCTACTCCTTCATCCCAATGTAACAGATGCCAGGGATTCGGCCATAACGAATCATACTGCAAAAAACCTCCAGCTTGCGGACTTTGCAGTAATAATCATGCTACAGTCGGTCATTTCTGTATAATCTGCCAAGCAAAAGGCAAACCATGTCAATATCTAAGTGTCAAATGTGTTAATTGTAAAGGAGAACACAAAGCCAACTCGAAAGTATGCGAAGTATATCTATCAACCATCAAGAAATCCAACTAATACTGTACAACAATACTCGCATTCTTCAAATCAATCTAAACAAGAGCCCTCAAGCAACCGAAAGTGCTCTTCAACTTGCTTTAGAACTCAAAATTGATCTCATAGTCATTCAAGAACCCTGGATCCTCTCGAATCCTGAGAAAGACTTCTCCTCAACCAGATCTATTGCCCACTCCAGCTTCTCTCAACTCCTCCCAAATAATCCTTCGAACCTGCGTCCCCGAACTATGATCTACATTTCAAAAGGATTCAAACCGCTAGTAGCCCTAGCTCCCAACTCCCCTAATGATCCAGATATTCAAATCATTAATATCACTCAAGGAAAACATACAATACAACTCATCAATATCTACAATGAAGCGGACCAAGCCAAAGAAAAAGGCCACACCATCGAAAGATGCCTTTACAATACCCCTCTTACTCATCACACCATCCTCGTAGGAGATTTCAACTCCCATCACCCTTGGTGGGACCCTGTGTGAACGAAGTGAATGACTTCAATTTAATTACTACTGTAATAAAGAACTAAGCGAACGCGAAAGAGACTAGCTCTTTTAGTAAGTCTATATAAGACTTACTACTTTCAATATGTAGCTAGCTCTTTAGACAGAATACAATTAGACATACAGGACCTACGTAATCCGTGGGTGCTACGTCTTCCGTATCCTTCTCGTACCAACAGACCCCTTCTCTAACAAAAGCTCAAATGCCGACCTACTCACCGAATGGTTTGAGGATCACAATCTCATTCTATTTAACGAACCAGGCACAAGCACCTTTTATCGAACAAATATGACAAATCCAAGTGTCTTAGACCTTACTTTAGCCACAGATTCAGTATCTCCCTATATCACTGATTGGCAAGTCCTCCCGGATCTTGGATCAGATCACTTAAGCATTCTCTTTGAAGTAAAGGGCACTTTATCCCGTACAACGAATATAGCTCAGCCAGCAAGATTCAATACAAAACTTGCGGATTGGGAAAAATTCGCGAATACCCTCAAATCGAAAATATCGATATCAACTACCTTAAATTCGAGTGAATACCTTAATATCGCTACCTCAGAATCCAACTCTCTTGATTCCCTTCTCGACAAGAGCCAATACATACAAGTATTGGATGAAGCTGCAAAAGAATTCACCCGAATAATCACTTATTCGGCTGAAACCAGTATACCGAGAATCAAGTCCACAAAAAGAGCTAAACCCTGGTGGTCCCCAGAGCTGAAAGCCCTTCGAAAACGACTCTCTAATGCATTTGAGAACGCCAAACTTTACCCGGAAGACAATATGTTCAAGAAAATCTATCAGTCAGCCAGGAATCATTACTTCCAAGCTATTAAAACAGCAAAGAAAAACCATTGGAATGAGTTCCTTGAAAAAGAGGATACCCAATCCATATTCAAGGCAATGTCATACACAAAAGATATACAAACCGAACGAATCCCGAATATTCGATCCAATCCCTCTAAACTAGAAAATTCTTTCGAGGGAAAATGCTCTGCATTTAGATCGACCCTATTTCCTCCTCCTCCATTCACCCCACCGCCCAATTGGGAAAGCTATAAACAATCTAAGAAATGGGAATGGCCTGATCTTACAGAGAGCGAACTCCTAAACGCGTGCTCTGCAAAAATCAAAGGAAAGACCCCTGGCCCCGATGGGATTACTCAAGATATCATTATTCAAGCGCACAAAGCAATACCAAAAGCATTTTTCACCCTCTTCAGTCATCTTATCAACCTTGGTCACCATCCTTCTTGCTGGAAACAAGCCACTGGAGCGATACTCAAGAAACCTTCAAAACCAGACTACTCGGCCCCAAAAGCTTATAGAGTTATCGCCCTACAAAATTGCCTTGGCAAAATAAGTGAAAGAATTCTGGCTCAAAGGCTTAGCTACTTAGCGGAGACTACGCAATTACTTCATTACTCTCAAATGGGTGGAAGACAAAAGAAATCAGCCATCGATACAGCAATCTTACTCACTACCGAAATCGAAAGGAATTCAAGATCCAAGAAGAAAACCTCAACTCTCTTCCTGGATGTTAAAGGCGCCTTTGATCATGTATCTATGAACAAATTATTAGATATCTGCAAGAACCTAAACCTCCCAACCAGCCTAATCGCCTGGATCTCATCTTTTTTGAAGGAAAGGCTACTCAAGCTCTCATTCGATGGCCAAATTGAAACCTTCAAACCGATCAATACCGGGATCCCCCAAGGCAGCCCTATTTCGCCAATCCTCTTCTTAATTTATATTCGAGATCTATTCTCAGCAAATTCAATCAAATATCTCTCATATATAGATGATATAGCTTTAACAACATTTTCAACATCCTGGAAAAAGAACTGTTGGTACGAGAAGGATACGGAAGACGTAGCACCCACGGATTACGTAGGTCCTGTATGTCTAATTGTATTCTGTCTAAAGAGCTAGCTACATATTGAAAGTAGTAAGTCTTATATAGACTTACTAAAAGAGCTAGTCTCTTTCGCGTTCGCCTAGTTCTTTATTACAGTAGTAATTGAATTGAAGTCATTCACTTCGTTCACACAAGAACATCATCTCCCTCGAAAGAGCAACTAAACAGATATATGCTCTGGGCAAAGAAAATGCTATTCAATTTGATCTAGCGAAGACGGAACTAATACACTTCTCTACATCCAAAGATACGAAGACAGCCTCAATCAAGCTTCCGAACGAGGAGATAATTCAACCCTCAACATTAGTCAGATGGCTAGGCATATGGTTCGACCCTGGCCTCAGTTTCAAACAACATGTCACAATCCGAGCTACCCAGGCTAAAACCTTATTCTACCGAATGGCTAGACTTGCTAATTCTGAAAAAGGCCTTAGTCCCAAGGCAATGAGACAGCTCTATATGGCATGCGTCACCAGCATAGCTGATTACGGTTCAATTTTATGGTGGAAAGGGCAAAACCAATTCAAGAAAATCCTTCAATCCCTGCAAAACCTCGCCCTTCGAAAAATCCTAGGAGTATTCAAAACCTCACCAATAAAACCGATGGAAATAGAAGCCGCATTGTGCCCTTCAGAAGTAAGGCTAAATGCTGGAATCAAACAATACGCCTTCAGATTATCGAAAATCTCCCTTTCTCATTCTATCAATTTAATAACTACAAAGTTGGCTATAGAAAAGGAAAATCAAGATGTAGTTATAACCCCTCAAAGAAAGCAATTAAAACCTACTCAACTTGAAAAGATCAAAAACTCAATCCAGAAAGACTTCGATCCCCTCATTTTGGAAAGAATTCATTATTTCTACTTTTCTCCTTGGAAGAAGGAAGTTCTATATAGAGTCAATATCAGCAAATTAGGAAAAGAAGAAGCTGTGATGATCCACAATCTGGCTTTCAAATATAGATACAAAAATATCATTACTATATACATTGATGTCTCATCCACTCTAGAGGGAATAGGGGTTGGGATTGGGATAGTAGTCATCTTACCAAATGACCGAATCTTATATCAAGAGACTATCAATATAGATGTGAATCAGCTTGTCTATAATGGTGAGCTTCTAGAAGTTACTAAAGCGATCGAATACGCAAATTCAATAGCCCAACCAGGAAACAAGTTCAAAATATACTCAGATAATCAAGCAGGATTATTCCAGCTGAAAACCCCCTCCGATTCATCTGGTCAATCATACCAAATCAAAGCTATAAAAGCTGCGGAAGCTATTCAAAATAAAGGAGCCGAAATCTCTCTCAATTGGGTCCCCGGATATACATTTGTACAAGGAAATGAGCTAGCTGATTCTCTTGCAAAAGAGGCGACCAAAATACCATCCTCATCTCACGAAACCATTTATGCCTCCATTGGAATGGATATAAAAAGAATGAAATCAGAGAACTGGATAGCTATCCTTAACACTAACAATTTTCATCAACCATCGTCAACATATTCAAGAAACTACCCCTGGAAGATCTGTTGGGTTTCTTAAGACCAGAAAGAGTATCAGATTGAATTCATTGATCCTCTAGCTAAGCAGTTAAGCTGCGAGTATATATTCAAAAAAAAAATGAAGGAATAAGGTTAGATATTCAGCCTTCGGAATTAAAGTGCTTTGAAATCAAAATATTGAAAGCAAACAAACAGTATACCAAAAAGGAAAGAATGAATTAAAAGTTGAGTTTTGTTTGCTCCTTATATGCATCATGCAATATACATGCATATGCTGCCAAGATCCCAGGAGGTCAACAAGATCAGCTCAAAAATCAGAGTTCCAGGAAACATCAAAAGAAGCACAATCTGTGCTCTGTTCCAACTCAAAATTGGACACGGATACTTCAAATCTTATTTGAAACAATTCGGTATCTCCTCTAATAACAATTGTAGATGTAGGGGAAAGGAATCTCCTGATCATCTTCTGCTCAATTGTCCTTTATATAAAATGGCAAGGAAAACCCTCAATAAGGATAACCCCATAGTCCGACCTACCATGAAATATCTGCTTCACACTAAAGCAGGAATCATCAAGACCCTCGAATTCATCGAAGCGACGAGAATAGCCACTAGATCATGGCACCTCAATAGAATGCATGAAGAAGAAGAGGAAGAAGGCGGAGAAGAAGGGGGTGGACCGGAAGATTGTGATTGAATTGATCAATTATGGCCAATTTGGTCAATTTAGTCAATTTGGTCAATTTGGTCAATTTGGTCAATTTGGTCAATTTGGTCAATTTGGTCAATTTGGTCAACTTGGTCAATTTGGTCAATTTGGGCAATCACCCCAATGTCAAATTTCATTACATTTCATTTGTTATTCCTCTTATTTGAATACGAGAGTATCTGTAAGGCGGGCTTGGTCCCCTAGTATTAGTTTTCACTTCCCCCATTCAAACATTAGAAGATTGAGGCTTTCAATCTCCCCAACCTGTATTAGCTACGGTCGAATAAGGCCAGCTACCCCCCATGTATTATTGTTAGAAGCCTGCAAAGCTCCTAGTGTCACGATTCACCATTAGGATTGATGGTGTTACGATGGTAGCAAACTGATTAATTAGGAGAGCTTAGGCCGTGTGCAAACACGATCAGATTTCATCGAATTAGTATGTGATCTTGGTCACCTGAAGATCGTATGCGCACGCACCATCAGAAATCGCGTGATAAGGAGTCTTGAGGAGCCAGAAAGCTTTTAGGGGCCCCCTTTATTGTTCAGTATATAGTCAGAGTAGTTTCATAGTTTAGGAGCTTCGTGCTCAACTTAGTTATCAATTAGTTTACCTACATTCTACTTGATCTAGTAACGACTTCACTCCCAAGTGAAGACTAGTGATAAAGCCTTAACCCACAACTACCAACCAGACGAAACCTCAGGCAGCCGCTGCCTCCGGTACAGTATCGTTACACCTAGCCGTCTTAGATAGTCATAGACTCAGTGTAGACGTTAATTTAATCAATCAATCAATCAATCAATCAATATGTTTTGTTGTTATTTTCTGAGATAAATTACTAATTATATAATTATAGTTGTTACGAGGGTTGCCGTCCCGATCACGTGGAAGTGTTCTAGGCTCTCGAAGTGGTTTATAACTAGGCGTCAAGCAGGGACTTAAGTAACGACAGTAATGATTGCAATTCGTAACTATAGTAGGTTGTACTAAATGATTCATCTTGAGCACGAAGCTCTACAATAATAAGATCCATCCTGGTTATATAGACCTTCGTGTTCTGCTAGTACGTTGGAGCGAAGGAGCGAGATTCGAATCTCGCTCCTTCGCTTCTTCACGTGACTGCTCATGTGATTCTGGAGCACCTGATATTGGTCTGTAACGTTCCAGACCATAAGCAACTTATAATTTACCTATGCCCTAGCAAAACTAAGCAAGAACATCAGGCAAAATTGACGTCGCAATCTTGGCTCTTGTAGAATGCACCATGTAGCCAACCATCGGTGTTTTTTCTAATAATGAATTTAAAGAGTGGGCAATAGAGGATTTCGTTATTGGTAGCTCTAAAAAATTAATCAGGTTGTTGAAAATAAAGAGATCACGTGAATTGCATCGCTATATAAGATTGAATCACTGTTTCCTATAGACTCTTTTAACACCTGGCTATATTTATAATCAACTACGTTACTACTCTTCAACTCATCTTCGCATCTTCCGATTACTTATCCTGAACTGGCAATGTCGGCAGAAGCGATTCCGACCGATCCTGGATATAAGATACTCGATGGCACACCTCCCACTCGCGATAAGATTGAGGCGGCGCAAGCAGAAATTTCGGTGGAAAACTTGCAAAAGCTTCAGCAAAGCACTTCTGATCTAGGGTTTGAGAGATTAGGCTGGGGGGAGAAAATTAATAGTCTTCTACATGATGGGCTTGATGTGGGTTAACCCTTTTGTGGCCAGACTGTGAAAGCTGACCTAGTAGCTTGATAACGATGAATACCTCAAGACTTTATTGAATGGAGCGTATAAAGATGCGAAGACATACATGGCCGATGTTGTTATTTGGATGCAGAACCCAAACCAATTGCAACGATTTAAAGCAGGGCGAGGTCGGGTTTTCGTATACAAGGCTATAGAAGGAGTCCTTGGTCCACAGAACGGCTTCTTTAGGATTGTGGAGGGGTCTCATCTGATGAATCCCAATCAGATCATCAAGACTAATGCAAAAGACGTACATCTACAACCTGGTCAGGCAATCATCCTGGATGGAGATCTAGTAATAGAGTATCCTCAAGCAGGTGGTGGTGTCGCGCTCTTGAAATGTTTTTCCAAGGCGTGATTGGATCTTGACACTGACCTGAGCATATACGTCAGTATATAGTTTGTAACAGTCTTTGCGTTAGTATTTCCCTTATTCAATATATACGTCAGTACAGTGGTACATATCGAATATTTCCAAACTATTTATATAGGTGGTGATGAATTCCATATCACTGGAAGTATTGAATTTTTGGATAATATTGGATAATATTGGACACCAGTGAAAGGATACGTAAATACGGAATTCCTATTGGTGCAGAAGATCCCGCATTTGAGGTTATCACCACATTTTGATAAACGTAACTACCCTTCAATTTTACCATTCAATAATACTGAAATCATCAATATTCCTACATTTTTCCAGAATTTTAAGCTACAAAAGTGTATTAGACTCTTTATCGAATCAATTAATCTACCAAATAGACTTAATCTAGCTTATGAAGGCTTAGCCCATTTTTGATATATTTTTAGAGTTCTGTTTCAGTATTTTTCATATTTTAGTATATCTTCACTAGTTTCCCTATAAGGTAATATGTACGACCGTTAATTTTCTACTATATAATACGTACGGCAAGTCGTACCGACCTCAATACACGCCACCGTTTTACTGTGTATACTAATGCAAACACTGGTTTGTAATGGAGATTGCCTTAGTCTACAATTCACGTTTTCATTAAGGATCTATTGGTGAATTGTATTTGAATCAACATTATAATCAAAACCCATTGCTTCTATTTACCCAAGATTCTCGTCACTTGTGCTTAACGTCGCAGCCGGGTCATCAACGAAGTGGAAAGGAAATTCCTGGCTCATGCCCACTAGAGCAGCCGGATCATCGATAAAGGTGAAAGCAAATTCCTGACCCATGCCTGGTAGAGCAGCCGAATTATCGTTATGTTCAACAGAACGTCTTTCGTCGCTACCTAATCTTATCAAGGCAGCAGGATCATCATCAAACCAGGAATCAGCTTCTTGCCTTGTTGTCGAATGTGGATCAAAATCATACGAACCAGAACGAAAGGTGTACGTATTCCCATTGTTATTGTATCGTGTCGCAGGGTTAGGAAAATGGTTATTGCTGACGAGCAACTCGTGCGAGGGCGGAGTTGTATCGGAAGCATTATCATCATGATTAGTAATGCCCATCGAATTGTTGGTATCCTGCCAAGATTGAAGTCGTTGTTCATCTTGCGTGCTTTCTCGTAGGTCTCCGTCCCTTGTATCATACGGAGTTATAGTCTCGTCCAGGCGGATTTGTGTATCCCGGCATTGCTTCTTATTTTGCTGACCGTAACTTTCAGAATTTCGTTTCGAAGGCCTCTCAGATTGTCCTGTGGAAACCGTTAAACCAATAGAACTTCTTGAGGGATAGTTGTAGAACAGGAAGGCATACTGTGAGAGATTGGCTCTTTATGTGGATGAGATGTAGGCGACAAAAGTGATGTGATGATAAGATCCAATTCCGTAAAGTTGAGCTCACTATCCCAAATTGCCTTCTTTAACACAGTTGCTACTTTGCCAAGTTCCAATATGAAGTCAGGGGAAACAGTGTCGCAGTATTGTGCAATGATTTCAAACTCATCCCAGGAACATCTTTCCCTGCAAGATATCAGATGAAGAACAGCAATTTGATAAGGGCAACACGAAATACTCACATTCCATCAAACGGAACATCTCCAAGAGCGAGGAGCATCCCGATTTGTAATCGACTGTACCTTTCGCCGGCTCGGAGTCGTGATAATAGTTTAGACTTCACATTAACCTTTCCAGACGTCTCGCAGGCCAATGTGGATAAAACGTCGATTGAGATTGACTTGTACGTAGCACCTCTCTTGACCTTTATTTGTGAACTTCGAGCTAGATATTCAATCCTAATTTCTATAACTTCTCGAAATTCATTCAGCCTAGCTAGAGAGAGCCGTCTTCGTATTGGACTAACAGTTATTTCCTCATCGAAATTCTCAATATGGACACACAGACGTCGGAGGGCAGTTGGCAGAGACAATTGAGACAAGGGATCGACACGTCCCCAGAAAGAGAAAGGATCTTCAGTCCATTTCGGAAGTCTTTCCTGAAGTAATTCTTGAATTGGGATTTGGCGCTGTTTGAAGTTGTTAACGAATGCTAGAAAGTATTTGTTCGGGTGGGCAGGCTTTGGAGCTCTGCCTGTGTCATCGTTCGTCCGGTCGGAGCAGGAGGGCCTAGAATGCACATACTGCATAATAGCTTGCAGATTCGATTGAGAGGCGACCAGATCGCTCGACTTCGTTGCTCGTTCAATTAGCTGTGCGAAGGTCTATGTTTGTATAATTGTTAGCATTTTCCAAATGATTTCGACGCGGTGTCCTACAGGGTCATTTTGTCTGATAACACCCACAAATCCTTGTACGCTTTGGTGATAAATGTTCAGTTGCTGTAACAAGTAAGAATGTAAACATATAAGACTGTGTTGATTGAGGAAAGGTTAAACCTCAGAATCAAGTGTACTGATTAGTATTCCCATAACTGGATTTTACGGAATTGAGGATGAGGGATTGAAGATGGACAAACATGTGGTTATCGTGAAAGATAGGGAGAATGGCCAGCTTCTATATCCTTGAACGAGTTTGCGGATGCTTAATTTGTTTAAGGGTTATTGTGCAGGGACTTCCGAGCCCCGACTAAATTAGGCCAACACATGCCAGGTTGCGCTTAGTTCCTTACCTCGTACTCTATTTCTCTACTTATTCGGCTCACAAAGCATCAACAAGCTATACAGAATTCCATCTTCACTTTGAAAGGAACAGGGCACACTTTTGGACAGAACATGGTTCGACAATGAGCCGGTAGTGCCAAGTTAACATTCAGTGATAATGGCGATGTTACAATTTTGATTAGGAACTTGGAATTCATATAAGAAAATAGAACGAGTCAACTAGTGTATGCTCGTTTCATCTCATAGTACTACCACTTAATCCGTCTCAGTTCATCCTTTACCGTATTCTTCTCTCTTTCCTATTACTCATCTCTGGCCCCAGGTTGCTTACGCCCTGAGCTATTTTTGTTTTCGGCTGCTTCCCTGTTATCCAAATATACGCAGGATGTATCCTTTTACCTCCACCATTATCGTACCTGAAGCCCCATATCTACCCATCTCACGTGTACCCTCTGTCTTCCGCACAATCTGCGGGGGATGGCAGCGGCAGGCGTTCCGGCGTTGTGGCAGTTGGTGGGGTCAACGAGAAAGTGACTGTATGTGACTGAAAGTCTTTCTTTTCTATACAAAATAACTCATCTAATTTCTAGTACCTATTCAATTTCGATATATGTATATCAAATAGCATCTCCCTTCTTGTCACGGGTTCATAACCCGTTCCAGTTAGCCTACATTAGCATACGGCTTCCACTGTCTATACAAACAGTGTATCTCCTAGCACCTTCTTCCCTCCTTTGTAGAATATTATCATATTACCTAGAAGTCTATCTGTCACCGTGATACTTCTAATGTCTGCTTCATTCTTCGATATACTATCAACCTCATACATCAATATTTTAAAATGACTACCAACTCTGGCATACGTCGCCCAAAACAAATTAAAGGTCTACTAGATTATATCTATATCGATTTTGGCACCGGAGGTCTTCGTATGGCCTGTAGTATCGAAGGCGGTGAAGATTGCAGAGAAATCGGAAACTATCCTGGAGCGCAAGCAGGTACCCCATCTCTTGTTTCTCAAGCGCCAACAAACATTATATACGAAACCGATGGCGATGAACCGGCCAAACCCGTGGCATTTGGTTACGTTAAACCAAACCGTCGTCAAAAACTTGTATCTGGAGTGAAGATTGCCCTTCTACCAGATCCCGAAAGCTATGGTTATGCCTATGCTGCCCTGGTTGCGGCAGCGAATGATCTCCACCTGAGATCTGTACAGCAGATCCCAGAAGACTTCTTGAGGTTCGCCATCGAGCATGCGATCAAGGAATGCGGTGGACAGCAGCCTACAAAAGGCTGGGTATTTTCAGTGCCTCAGTATTACAAGATTGAGGAAGTGCAGAACTTTCGAGCATTGATTAAAAGAGCAGGTTGTCTTGACAATATATATATCCATGGTGAAAGCGATTGTGTTGCTTATGCAAATCTGCCAACAATCGAGGATATCATCAGCGATGCTAGAGAGAGTATCTTTAAGAAAAAGCAGAACTATACCATCGCAGTTGGGATATTTGATCTTGGAGCTGGTACAACTGTGAGTGATCTGGTTCAAATAGAAGTGGATTGACTAACTCATGATAAATAGGATATAACCACCTCCGAGATCTGTTTCAAATATGATGGAGGACCACCTGCGATCAACGAATTGAGTGCCCCTTTAGGTATATTATAAGAACCAAAACCGTATATCTAATGCTGATAATGATACTATAGGCTTTGCGATTGGAGGGGATTCATTTGATGAACGATTCATTGATCTCTTGCGTGCCAAACTCGACATCAGTATGACTCCAGATAAAGAGCAGGCCTTCTTTGACCCGTTTGTGAATCGTTTCCACCTACAATCAAAGCCACAATGGACAACAGATTTTGGGGATGAAGAATATCCATTCAGTGTACCAGATGGCAAAGATCAATTTGTATTAACAGAGTGAGTTTATCGTTAGCTTTCTATGATGTGATCTTCAATTGCTAACTCAATAACAAGGGAGGATATGACTTATATTATGGAACCACCGATTGATGAAACTTGCCGACGCATCGGCGAGCATCTTGCTCAGATAATTAGACCTTTGGATCTTATTGTAATCTCAGGAGGGAATTCCGAGGTGCCTGGTATGGCACATAACTTGTGCGCTATGCTTAAAGAAAAGAATATCATCAGCAATGATGAAAAAGTAATTCATTTGGTGGGACAGTCATTGTAAGTACCAATTCAACGCAAGGGGAATTTCGGACTGAAAGAAGCTAATCTGGAAACACTTGTAGGAACGCGGTAGTTCACGGTCTGCATTACTGGATCAATCATCCTCAACTAGTCAGAGGTCGATATGCTCGCATGACTCTGGCTCGAGTGGTCAAATGTCCTTGTACAGAGCTTAATCGGCAGATCAAGGTTCCTGCTAAAGATGCCGAGCTACCCAAATTCTATGATTGTGCCGAAAGGATCATGACTGAGGTAATCATATCTATGGAAGATTGAGTAGGATTATTGACTAATGGCTTTCTAGGGAATCCTTGTTCCAGATGGCATTCAGACTGTTGATATCTACTTTGACATTGATATAAATGCCAAAATTTTGAACCTACTTCCTATCGATATATGCATTCCAAATAAAGATGCCGAAACTTATACTTCTGAAAACCGTCTCTGGAATTTTGCATCCGAATGTAGAACTATAGGTGCTCTTCATCTAGAGTCAACAATAACGAATATCGATATTGGTGCACTTAGAAAAGTTGCTACAAAACGTTTGCGTCGACTCTGGCTTCGTTTAAGTATCGAAGTTGATATTGATATCAACGTTGTAGTATCCTGGAGACCCGACGGACGCAAGCTTAAAGAAGACACGGAGTTCTGTTCAACCAAATTAATTTTGGAAAGTGTGAAGCTATCTGGCCAAAGATTAGTGGATGAGTTTCGCGCTCCAATACAGCAACGAGAGAGCTCTAATTCAAACATTACCAACGATACCTTGCCGAATTATCTTCAAACGTTAAAGGCTGTCGGTGGAATGAAGACTCATTCGAAGAATTTATTTCCAACAAGCATTCCTCCTCATTTAGGTAAGTGAGTTTCTTTATATGAGGGTTTCAATAGAAATTATTAACATTGGTAGATTCCTATCATCCTGAACATGGTGTACATTTTGCTGCTTGGCCACGTGACGATTCAGATAAAGTCGGCAATCACGAATCAATTACACAAGCGGTTCCATATTGTCCCGAGAATCCTAATCGCAAAAGAACTTTCTTTGAAGCAGAAATAGGATATGGGTATCCAATACCATCACAATCATATACTACTCCTTACCAAAGTCCTTACAATAATTCATTAGCAATGAATCCTTCGTTTTATTCACGTTCGATCTCGCATCAGAGTATACTGTCATCACCATCTACAGCCACAACACTTGCACCGTCATCTTCGAGCAATCCTCTATATCATCCTCACCAAATATTATCGTATCCACCCCAATCATCATACCCATCTCAATCATCTGATATTTACGATGAAAATAGATTGGTTAATCCACGGGATCTTTCATTTAACCACAATCCTGCCAAATAAGTTTCTTACCTTGCTCTGAAATCAAGCCACAATTGTTCGAGGTTAGTGACGGTGGCAAGAGGCTGAACTGGGAGGCTGATACAAGATGGGGACAGGATGACAACAGTGTTTAGGGAGCTGATCTGTTTTTTTGTCTCTTGCACTCTGGGAAAAACTCTCATCGTTAAATTTTCATCGAGTAAATTTAAAAACTTTATGCAAATGATCTTTGTGCCTTCACCATACATCAAACAATAATTGATAAAAAGCTATTCTTCAACTTGCTAAGATAACCTAATCACTACCGTCACATCACCAATCACTATATCAACATTTGCTTAATACCTTATTTGTCTTCCGAAATATATGATTTTCTATATTTAAAAGTATATTCTCATATACTAATCTCTTTATACCTTTAATTAAAACTAGTACAACTTCGAATATA